GATAAAATCAACTTATGAATGAGAGCATGAAGACATCGTTATTCTAGGTTACTTCTGATGAGATGAAAACTTTTTTTGCAATATGTATACATATGGGGATGATTCGCAAACGACGTATACGTGATTATTGGTCAACTGATCCCTTATTACACACACCAATATTTCATTCAAAACATTATTTGTCTCGTAATCGGTTTTTCGAAATACTTCGGTCGGGTCCAAAAGTATTTTCGAAAGAAAATTATGAATTATTTTGCTTTAGATTTCTGAGATTTACAGACTATGAAAAAATAGTGGACAATGATAATTTGCGAAAACTACGACCTTTCTTGAAAATAGTGCAAGATCTTTGTCTTTCCATGTACATTCCACGAAGAAACGTAGCCGTTGATGAAACGCTTCTATTATACAAAGGAAGAATCGTATGTATCAAGATTTGTGATTGTAGTCTTTTGTTATTTATGTCTGCAACATAGAGTTTCAAGCAATATAATCCGCGTAAGCGTGCCCGTTTTGGAATAAAGACTCTTGCACTTTGTGATTCGACCAATGGTTTCCTTCACAATTTTGAAGTTTATACAGGACAGAGTAAGAATATTTTCTCTTCTCTTAGAATGAAACTTCTTGGTTTAGATACTAACAGATGGGCAGAAAATTTTCCTGATGCTCAAGCGCTACCAGTTTCGGAAAGAATTGTTATACATCTTGCTGGTCATTTGCTGAACAAAAGCTATTCCATTTATGCAGATAATTGGTTTCTTAGTGTACGTTTAGTGAAATGGATGGTTGAACATGGTACCACAGCTACTGGCACAATTAATAAAATCGAGGTGATTTATTTAATATTCTCTATATCTATCTGATACAAATCATATTTCAACAAAACACTGTCTTTTCTTCTTGTTATCTATTGTTGTTACTTTATTGAATCACGCATAACGAGAAACAGAAAAAGAAGCTAAATGCGTTTGCAAAAGTCAGATAGTTGTACATAACACTTATCTTCTTCTTTGACCATAATAAGTTTACCATTTTTCATAGTCTTGATTTGAGCATAATTTTGAACGTTTCTTGGGTATTGTTGTCGAATGATGTCATTGAATGGAATTGGAAATATGTATGTTTGACCACGATCACGTACATTGCGATGATCAAGATAGCATGAAAGACCTTTATATAGTTCTTTTCGACGATCTTTGTCCGAAGGATTAGAAAAATTTCGATCCACCTGGCCGACCAATTCTATGGAAAAATATAATTATTGATTTTAATCCATGATTCAGCAGCTCTTCTTTTATAAAAAAATTTAAAATCTATTTGCCCTGTCAATATAGTTTATTTCAGGTTTATTATATAAATATACAGGTTTTTTGGTCAAAATCATAATTTTCATAGTTCTATTCAAACAGGTGAAAAAACTACTTTTGTTTTCAGCAATGAATCGCTAACTCATAAAAATAGGCTTTCGATGTTGATTCAGATTCTAAGAATTTTGACAAGAACTATACACATAATTTATGAATCTATCTTTACAAAAAAGGCAACTTGGTTACCTGAAGTCCGTTCGTTGATGAATTTATTTACCGAGAAGATTGATAGGAATAGTTAAATTTGCATCTTTGAGCATATTAATAATTTTTGATTGAAACATTGTTGGCGTAAAATTGATTTTTTTATTTGGTGAAATATTCTCCTTTGGCATATCAACGTGGTCTATGGACCGTTTGAGAGATGACGAAGATGATGATGAGACCATTGAATAAATAGATTGAAAGTTCAAATATTTAATACAATCGAAAAATCTGTTAATTGAAAATGAATATGTAAACTTAGGAAAAAGGATAACAATATTTTTGTTTTCGATTCTGGAGTACCGAAAGAACTGTCAGCGAAAAAGTTGCAGGCATCTGATTCCGCTTTTATGCGAAGCGGTGAGCTTCTTATAGTGAAATTTCAAGATAAAAAGTCAAGTGGTGACAAAGAAATTTTCCTTATTGACTCAAAAGGAATCGCTGGAACTTCACCAGTGGAAAGATACGAAAAGGGTAATACAGTTTGACCTTACTGGGTATTGTTTCTAAACTGTTTTATTACAAGTGGCACGAAGAAACAACTTTTGAAACCTAATAGTATCATCGATTACAACAAAAATATGGGCGGTGTGGATTTGTCAGATAGTGCTCTGCATCACGCCTTTATCAATAGAAAAACTTATAGGTGGTTTGTCAAATTGGCTCTTCATTTCATCAGTAGATTGTCATTCAATGCGTATACCATGTACAAAGAGTCACACTCAAGTGCAACATTGAATGATTTTCTTATGATGTAAGCATTGAAGTAAACTGATAAAAAATATTTGTTTTTATTTTTGAGCTATGTACGTGAAACGATAGAAAAAACAGGCATTACGAGAAAATCAGGAAAAGACTTTACTCCAAAACAAAAACGATCTCTCTCAACGAATGCTACCGATCGTAGTCCAAAATTGATAACCACAATTAGTCAACATTTTTCAAATGAGATTATCCTTGAAGAAAAGATTGTTGCTTTTTACCGACGTATAACTTTTTTAGGAAGAAATGATATTGATTCTAAATCAGGTCGTCACAAGCAAAAACGTTGTGTACTCTGCCATATGAATAATATTCGGACAATGACTATTTATAATTGTAAAACTTGTACTGAAGAACCAGCTCTATGTGTTCCAGACTGTTTTGAAAAATTTCATCTTACTCTAATGAATAAAACAAAAACATAATAAACTGAAATACAAACATATCGTTGATAACTAAAATAAACCTCAATCAACGAAAAATGAAAGAGACTTCAAAATAACAATGTGAAATATGGATAACCGCCATTCTGTTTTGAACTATGCCTTCGTTTTTTTTTATATATAACATATGAAATACGCCGTCTAAGAAGACGACAGAACGAAAAAAATTTCTTTTTCGTTCTGTATGGCATCTAAAGATGCCATACGGGATCGAAAGGGTTAATGATTAATGAAAACATTAATTTTAAAATTAATGCTAATGTTTTTCATTAATCATTAATATTAATGAATTAAGTTTTTCTGAGAAAAAATTAAGCATTAATATTAATGGTTAATGAGAAACATTAACATTAATATAAAATTAATGTTAATGGCCCACCCCTATTCAGAACTATGATATATAATACATTCTATAAGAGTTTTCCATAGATATTCTTCTATCAACCCAAGAATATTTGTATTTTTCATTGCGCTAATCGAATTGATCATTTCATCTTATTAGCTGCCAGCAGATGGTAAGAATGTTACACAGGGTTGTCACCTGATGAGGTCTACAAATGGGAAAGATGACCTTAAAAACCGGAAAATAGCGAAAAGAAAAATAGAAAAAGTGGAAAAAATAGCGTAAGCTTATATTGTTGCAGATTTGTAATACTTCTGAGAATATTAGGTAAGGCGGAGGGCGGATAAGACCGTTTTGCGCCCCCCCCCCTCAGATTTGAATTATTTCTATCAGTTATTATTTAGGGATCATTCTTGATCACATTTTTCTACTTTGTCTCCCACAACTCGACGCTGACGATTTTTTTACCTGGGGTACCCCACAGGTATCATCGAAAACAAAATTTGCTTTATCACGAGCCAAATCTTGATGTAATTGTAGATTTAAGGGTACTGATTATGAATATCGTAATTAGAAGTCTCAAAACTACTTTGCTTCCGAAGTAGCCGAGAACACTCATTTGATCCTATTTTTCGTTATTTGGGCACTCATCGAATAGTACGCGATGAAATTGGGTGCAAAATAATTTCCTCTGGCTCATAATGTTGAGTTCTTTTCGAATCTGAACTTTTTACATCGAAAAAACCGTACGCATCGAAAAATTACAGGGATTCCGGGGCAAAACTTGAGCCCTGCTCATCATATTTAACTACCTAGATAATGAAAAGTCTTGCCGCAACGTCAAATTTGGATTATAAGTGTAGTATTTCAAGCTCTATCGATTGGTGATCTTAAAAATATTAGAAAAGTTGTGCAACAGGATGAAAAGTTAAGAATACTAATAATTTCTATAAAATTGCTGTAGGGGATCTCATCTACGATTATATAAGAGATCTTGAAATCAACTGATATTTAGCCCATCTTGCAGAGCTTAATTAATTGTACGTAAAAA